GGGGACAGAAGCTCCCCCGCAGCGCACCACCCCGCACGGCTGCCCTTCCGAGAGCCTTAAAGGTGCCCAGGGGCCTCCAAATCCTTAAAATCCTGAACCCATCAGTAAAAGCATTTCGCAAGCACATCTCTAATACTCGTACATTTGCCTATAAATCGTGTATTGAGCTGCTGTCAGTTGATATGTTTATCATCAGAAAAGCAGCTCCTTTTTTCAGAAAGAAAAGAGCAGAGGTCCTAGCCCATCCCCACTGTGCGCACAGGGTGGCCAGGGGCAGGCCTCCACTTCGCAGAGAGTGTGACAAAGGTGCTGAAGGAAGGAGCCGGAAAAGGTCAAGGCCCGCCCGCTCCACGCGCAGCTGAAACGGTGCTGGCCGCCCCGTGGGCTTTACAATCAGAGCCTACGCTCCGCACCCGCCGCTGAGCCCCGGCCGCCCACCTCGGGAGCACCGAGCACCGGCCGCTGCCGCGGGGCGGGGCTCGGCCTAATACGGCCCCTCCTCCCCTCCCAGGGGCCTGTGAGGGGAACAGAGGGCCACAGGGCGCTCGGCCGACTGTTACCACCTTCCTCCCTGAACCTCTTGCCAGCCTGCCCTTCCCAGGAGCCGTCGCCGCGGGCCCGCCCGCCCGCCCGCCCAACCCCTCTGTGCCCCGGACTCGGCCCGGCGTGGCTCCTCGCCCAGCCTGGCATGGCTCCGGCGCGCGGTCTCCCGCCTCTTCTGCCGTGGCAGCTGGACAACCCCTCCCAACACTCGGCCTGTCCGTCTTTGGTTCAAGCTGGCTTTTCACGCCCTACAATCTTTGAAAGTGAAGACAGGCCCTGAGGGGAAGGACAAGGTGACATGCGTGCACGCGTGTGCGTGGGGACGGAGCATGCGCCTGTGCGCTGGGGCGCAGCCACCAGCGGGCGGCTGGGAGGGCGCCGGCCTGGTCTCCCGGCAGTGAGTGCGGCGCAGGGGGGACCCAGGCCTCACCGCGTGCCTCTGGGCGAGATGCGGCGCTGAGAGCGGAGGTGCTCGGCGCTGGCTCCGGCGCTGGCTCCGGCGCTGCCCCCGGAGACTTAAAAAGAGACCGGCGCCCGCCTCCCCCCAGACCAGTGGAATCAGAAGCCCAGGGGCGGTCTGAGCAGCCACACGCTGGTTTGGACTCAGGTGACTGTAACAGGCGGCCAGGGCCAGGACCTGCTGCTTGTCTGAGCAGAACAGGAAGGTTCGCCGTCTCTTCAGTGGACAATTCTGTCCTCTCTACCGGGACCTAGTCCCTGCCCCTCAACCCCTGAGATCAACTGAACTGCCATTTTTCTACCTCCTGGAGTTCTTGGCCAAGGCCATAAGGGCCAGGGCTGGGTTCACGTGCTGGGCTGCGTCGATGTGCCAACAAGCGCCTCTCCCGGTTGGGGTGATGGGGGCCGGGACGAGGGCACCGTCCGAGAGACCCCGCCGCCATGCAATCGCCTTTGCCTGAGGCCGGGGGACATTCTGTAAGGCGGCGGTTTCAGAGGCCAGCCCGCTCTCCTTGGTTCTGGTTCCCATCTCCCTCCCTCTCCTTCCCATGTCCGCAGCCAGCACCCCGGGGTGAAGCCACTTGTGTAAACACGCGCTCCGGGCTCCCCCCGCCCCGGCTCCGAAAGCCCATCCGTCACTTCGATTCTCTGAGGAGAGAGAGCAACAAGCAGGGAGAGGGGGACCCTGGCCCCCCTCAGTGCAGAGACAGCAGACATTAAAACCACAAAAAGCAGAACGAGCGGGACGGAGGGCCGGCAAGCCCTGCGGGGAGACGCCCTGAGCCGGGCTCCGCTCCTCGGTCCTCGAGGCCACGCGGGAGCTGGAGGGCAGGCCTTGCTTCTTACGCCGGAGCCGATTGGAACCTCCCTCCTCCGAGCCCTCACCCTGCCTCGCTCTCTGAGCAAACAGGATGCTGGTACTACAGTTCTTTCTTCTTCTCCTTCTTTAAAGTCAGCGATCAATTCGGGCCTCTCAAGCCAAACCCCCACTCGGGAATGCAGCCCAAAGCACAGGGCCTGCGCCAAGGAGACCAGCGGGCGGGCACCCAGCGCCCTTGCGCACGGGGATGAGGGTCAGAGGCCCTGAGTTTGCACGGACTGACAGCCTCCTTGGGACATGCTCTTAATGCCGCGATGACAGGTGGCTTTCCAGTGGCCCTGGCAGCACCTCAGCGTCTTTGGGGATGTGGGGGGAGGGGTGTGGGGCACTGGCTCCCAGGAAGCTTGAAGGGGACTAGCACAGTCACGAGCACATGGGGACAGGGGCCGCCCTGCAGCCTCCGGCTTAGTAAGAGAGAGAGCCGATGCCGGAGTCCCCAGGGAAAGAAAGACAGAGGAAGGGAGGGAGGGAAGGAGGGAGGGAGGGAGAGGGAGGGAGGGAGGGAGAGGGAAAGAGAAAGAAAGAGAGAAAGAAAGAGAAAGAAAGAAAGAAAGAAAGGAAGGAAGGAAGGAAGGAAGGAAGGAAGGAAGGAAGGAAGGAAGGAAGAAAGAGAGAGAGAGAGAAAGAGAGAGAGAGAGAGAGAGAAAGAAACCAGTGGCCCAGGCAGGGCGCTGGCAGGGCCCTGAAGACAGGAAGGCTTTCGTAGCTTCCGCAGACCCCGTGCTCTCAAGTGCCTGACAAGCACTGTGCTGCGCAGACACCCCCAGGACCCCCAGCGCCCTCTTTCCAGTGGCTACGCCTCCCCCCACCCCCGTTGCAGGGTGCCCGAGGCCCCCGGCTCCCACCAGCCTCCCTCGGGTCCAGGGTCTGATGTTTCTCCTGTCGGGGAAAACAACCCCCTGTGTGGTCGCCCAACGCTCCCCTGCGTGGGTTTATAGCTGTGGGTCTCCTTGGGGGATGGGGCTAGAGCCACACTCACCTGTCCAAGTGCGCAGGAAGGAGTGGGACAGCCTGTCCCCAGGAGAGTGGGCACCAGGCTTTGGGGGCCCTGGAGAGGGGAGCAGGGTGGGCATAGGGCTGGAGTCCCGTGCTCCAGACACGCTGCTTTGACTAAACCATTGAACTGAACACCCAGGCTGCCATCCTTGGAGCTCGGGGCTTTGCTCAAGGCTGTACTTCACGTGGTCAGGAGGCCCCTGAAGTTTCGTTAAGCTCCAGGTCACGTTAATCAGCTTTGGGAGACTGCATTTTCTCCCTAAGCCTTTCCTAATGTCTTGTGATGCCACCCATCATAGGGTTTAGACTCCAACTTCAGAGTGTCTGTGGTTTGGGGGGATGTTTCCTCCCCCACAGCAGGCCCCAGGGATACTTTATCCAGTCTCTGGGTCTCTGGAGAGCAAAGCCAGTGGCCGAATCTGGCGACACCCCCACCTACCGCTGGCCCAGGGAGCTTTAAACCCTGGACTTGAGGTTCCCACCGAAGCAGAAGGAAATCCTTTCCTCACCTATGTATCAGAGCACGCATTTCCCTCGGGGCGGCCTCCCTGTCTGAGAGTTCAGGTTCACCCGCAGTAACAGTTGTTACATGTGGACAATTCCAAGCTTGGGTGGTAACCCCCAGACGCCACAAGTGTCTATAATCTGCGCAAACAGCTGCATGGTTACACTGCAGTTCACCTAAAGCAATATTTGCTCAGTTGCAACAGTGTCGCCAAAAGGGCTTGACAGCTTTCAATTCTTTCCTGACAATGCTCAGAGCCTGGAGGCGGCTGGATTCGGAACTGCTCTCCATGGCTTAAATCAGCAAATAGAGCTTTCCTAGCAGCCAAGAAAGTTCTATTACAAAAAAAAAAAAAAAAAAAAAAAGTCAATAGCACTGGAAAAGCACTTCCCCAGCACATTTAACCCAGCGCTCTGACCCTGCGGTGTTCAATTTTAAAGGCGACGGTTTGCTTGCCAAATAGGCATATCTTGGCTTCTTTTGCTCGGTAGAAACTCTGCCTTGATATTAAATATTCAAAGAAAAGAACCTCGGACCTAAGAGCTCCCGGCTAACAATGACACTCTCTGTGAGTAAACTAGAAACCCAACTCAGCCTCTGGGCTCAGAGCGCTCTGCCCCGCACTGGCCAGTCCCCTGTACAGAGGGACGGGGGCGGCTCCCGCCCCACGATTTCATTGCAGGAGACCCTGCCGGCAGGGCCCCCCAGGAACGCGCAAAGCCGGGCTTGCAGCAGATGCTGGAAACGGGGAGAGGGGGCTCAGAGGTGCTTCCTGAGCCGGGAAAGGGTGAAGAAGGCTCGCCCGAGGGCGATCACCTCGGCTACAACTGCGAGGACGCTGGGGGCTCTGGGGAAAGACAGCGGGGGCAGGCGCTCCGGTAGCCGTCAGACACCCAGAAAGAGCTCTCCGTCCGCAGCGTCACACCTACAACCCCAGCACCTCCCCAGAGAGGCGTGGGTGTGCGGTCCCAGTCCCCCCAAGGAAAAGCCTCAAGGGTCCCTGGGCGGAGGAGTCATTTCTTAAGCGGGCTGCAACGGGGAGGGAGACGCGGATGCCTTTTGAGGTGGCCCTGCCCCCTGAGCCTCCTCTCTGTTCTATAGGCATCTGCTCACCTCTCCTCCGACCTTCCGGCCCGCGGCTTCCCTGGGGCCGGGCGGCTCAGGCTTCAGGTCATGCATCCCCTGGGCTAGTCTAGCACGGGCCCGGGGACTGGCTGCGGCGTGGGACTGCGCGGTGGCAAACCAGGTGCACCCTGCCGACCACAGCACGTGTCTCTCACAGTGCTGGGCTGCCAGGGGCTCCGCTGCGGGAGCCTCCAGCCGAAGCGCACCCATCGGAGTGAGTCGCTGATGCTGGGAGACTGAAGTCAACAGCACCGCGACCAATTCCAAATACGGTACCCACCGTTCCTCTGGGGGAGGGGGAGCCCCCCTTCTACTACCCCACACGCAGCCACCCATATGCTAGGGGCTCGCAACAGGCAGGAAAACTGGCTAGGAGCGCACCCCAGCTTTAATCCAACCATGGCGAGCTTCTTCGGGCGGCCGCCCCTAGCCGGGAGCTCACCTGGGCGCGCCACGGCGCCGGGGACGCACGGTGAGGGGGACGCCTCTTACCGGAGAAGTCCGAGAGCGCCGCGATCTCCCGAGAGCAGACCAGGACAGCGCAGTAGAAGACGCGCAGCAGCTGCCCCGGTGGCTCTACCTGCCTGCGGAGGCCGGGATGCTGCGCCGGCTGGGGCGCGCGCGGTGGGCGCGCGGGTCCCGGCAGGAGCATGGTGCGTGGCGCGGCGGGACGTGGGCGCGGGCCCAGGACGCGCCGAGGGTTGCTGGGCGGAGGGCTGCGTCACATGGCAGGGCGAGTCGGTGGCCAGCGGCTCCGCGGCCCCCCGCCACCTCCCCGGCTCTGCCCGCACCGGCTCCCCAGCGAAGGAGAGGGGGCGGAGAACTGGGGCGGGGCGAGGAGCCCCGGGAAGGATCCGCGTAGTTTCCCCGAGAGGAAATCTCCGCCACCGCCGCCGCGCGGGAGGAAACGAGGGGGGCCGAAGGGAAAGTGTAATCCCGCGCGCCCCGCCGCTGCGGGGGCTGGTTTCTGGCACCCCGCCCGCCGCGGAGGGTGCCCCCAACAGCGCACCGCGGACTGCGCAACTTGAGCGCCTTTCACGCCGGGTCCCCGCCCCTGAGCCGGCCCGGCACCCCTGGCCCGGCCCGCGCTGGCCTGGTGCCAGCCTCGCCCTGGCCGCCGGAGCAGCGCGGCCGGTGCCCGTGACGCACTTTGGAGCCAGCGCCGCGCGGTGAGCCGGGGCGCCCCGGGGCGGGGCCGAGGCCGGGGCTGGGGCCGCCGGAAGGCGGGGTCCCAGAGGTGCAACACAGGCATCCCCGCGACCCTTGCAGAATCACCAAGCACGTAGTTACCCCCATTTCACGGAGGAGGAGATTGAGACCCCATCGGGGTCCAAGTTTACGCAGTGGGAGGGGATGAGCGGGGACGGGGGTTGAGGATGGGCGTGTCAAAGCGGGTCAGAGGGCCCTGAGCCGGTCTCTCTGGGCTCCGACTGACTCTACACTTCCTTCGGGCACTGGTTGCACGCAGCGCTCACAGGCTCTGACACCAGACTGACACACACAGCCGCCGAGCGCTAATAATTGGGCTTTGTTTTAAAATGGGCCACAGCATCTTTCTGGACTTCTTGATTGCGCGCGATGTGTCCCCCCAGCGGACACCCAGTCCGCGGGCGGGGAGCGCGCTGAGTGGCCCGGGCCGGGCGGGGGAGGGCCGAGGACGAGCGCGCAGAGGCTCTGTGGCCGCGCCAGCTGCGGGTGCTTCGGCCCCAGCGACCCAAACCCCGCGGACCGCGCGGGACGGCCGGGCGGGACGGGGCGGCGCCGGCACCCGGGGGGAGGGCCCGGCGGCGGGCGCTGGGCACAAAGCGTTCCCGAGCGCGCGGGGAGGCCTGCCAAGTCCTCGGCGGGCCTGGCGCGGAAACGTGGATAACGAGGCCCGAGGGTGGGACCAGGCGCACCGCCGCGGCCGCCGGCTCCCAGCGGCGCTGCAGGGCGGCGGCGAGGCCTCGCGAGAGAAGGCGGGGCCGTGCCCGCCCACCTGCGGGACCCGCACAGAGGCGGCGGCAGGGACCCCAGCGAGCCGGGTGACACAGGGTCCCACGCCCGCTCCAGCGGAGGCGGGCCGGCGGGGCTGGGATCCGGCTCCGGTAGGATTTGTTGAGTAGTACCGAGCCGGTGAGGCCCAGCGATTTTTAAAATCTACATCAAAATATTCGACCTCAGTAACGCAGAAACACTACTAGTGTGCACTTTCTAGACTGTGGAAACTGAGGCAGGGGGTGGGTGAGGATGCCTAGCGCTCAGGAACTGCTCAGCGAGTAGTGCTGGCCCCAAACTCAGGCCCCTGGTGGGCTTGCGGCGCATCCGCCCCTCCATCCATCCAGCCGAGATGCAGATCCGGTGCTCGCAGGGCAGATCTGGCGCGGGGCCGTGAGGCCGCGGCACAAGGAGGGCCATGCTCGCTCAGGCCTGGGCTCTACCACCCCCGCGCTGCGGGCACACGCTGTGTTCCAGACGGCCCGTGGGCGCTGCGACGAGGTGGCCGGCCCCACTTCCCGATCCGCAGCCCCGAGGCTGCTGTGAGGCGTGGATGGGCTGGTGCGGGCGGTGCGGGTTGGGCCTCTGGAAGCAGCAGGGGCTCAGTGCGTGCCAGTCACCGCTGCGGTGAGCCAGCGCCATGGGGCAAAAGAGCGTGGGCGCAAGGCGGCCCGGACCCCTTAGGGCAAGATGGGTGAGAAAGGCGGGAAGGGGGCCCACCCAAAAGCAGGGTGTTGGGAAGGGTGGCCACTTGAGGAACACGGGTGACGTGTGTGAAATCCAAAAGAGGCCGCTCCCCGGGAGCAAGGGGACAAGTCTGGAGTGGGTGGAGTGGGGAGCAGAGGGCAGGCCTAGGGGATGAGCCGCGGCCACCAGCCCGCGCCCAGGGACCTGCACAGCCCGCGGTCACTCCCATCGCTGCGTCGCCTTAAGCAGCAAAGGGCCGTGCGCAGACAAGCAGCGTGGCAGGTGTGTGTCGGTGGGAGGTGCCCGCGGCTGTGGGTGCCACGGGGCCGCAGGGCCAGCGGGGGGTCCGAGAGTCCACGCCCAAAGCACCGACGGTGGGGGCTCCAACGACACTGCGCCTGTGCGCCAGCGTTCACGGCCGCTGGGCCCACACCAGCGAGAGGCGCGAGCACGCCAGGGGCCACCGACGGACTGCAGACAAGCAAAGCATGGACGAGCACGCAGCCCTGAAGGGGGATGGACATCCGGCACGGGCTGCCACACGGGGGGCCTGGGACGCCTTTGCAGGGCGCAATACGCCAGACACGGGAGGACCCATGTCGTATGATTCCACTTACATGAAATGTCTACTGTCGGCGAGTGCAGAGAAGGTAGATCAGAGGTCACCAGGAGCTGGCAGGAGGGGGACAGAGTTCCTGTTCGGGGTGAGGGAAACGGTCTGGGACAGATAGCGGTGGCGGGTGCAAAATCCTGTGACTGTTACTAGCGCGCGGAATTGTACACCGAAAATGGCAGCTGTGTGTGGTAGGCATTTACCGCAACTTCAAAACATGCATAACGTAATAGGCCAAAAGCCACTGGACTGCGGGCTTGAAACGGGTGAGTTGTGTGGCGTGTGAATTGTATCTCCATAAAGCTGATGTAAAAATAAAACTCAAACAGTAACAACGACCCGGGATCCCGGGAGGTGAGCGCGGCCGCAGTGTGGCCAGCAGGCTGCAGCTGCGCGGTGCCCTGGGGCTGCGTGGGGGGGCGGGGCGGCGGTGAGCGGGAGGGGGGTTTGGGAGGGGTGGGCAGCAAGGCCGCGGCCTGATTTAGTCCTCATCTGATCTCTTCAAGAATTTTGAAATTATGCATGAAAATGAAATACTTCCATTTACCTTCCTCTCTGGGGCCCTTTGTGCCTCCGACCAAATGGACACCCACCCCTTTCTCTGCCTCCAATTATTATACAATCAGCTACCCACCCTCTGGGGCACTATAAAAACCTGTAGGACAGGAACGCGAGCGAGGCGAGCAACACTTCAAAGGAGGAGAAACCCTCGTAAAATCAACCCGGGGCGGGAAGAGCCGCCATCTTCCCACCAGGGCGCTTTCCCTCCCCCGAAGGAGCTGAAAAGTCAGACGCAGGCGCAGCCCCACGGCTGTTCAGCAGTTACAGGAGCTGGGATCTGCGGCTGGGGAAGGGTGAGCCGCAGAACAGGGCGCTCCCGAAGCGCTCGTGCCCACCGCGGCCCTTCGGCGAGGGCTGACCGCCCCGGCCCGCGACTTCCCGCCGAGCGAAAGCGAGCTGCAGGGCGGCCACCGAGAGCCAGGGGCCCTGCAGAGGACCCTCGAGGGCAGGCCCAGCGCGGCCGCGCAGGCCACGCGCCCAGGAAGCTGGTGCCACCGTGAAACCCCCGGAACAGCAAGAAGGCCGACGGCGGGGGGCAGGGCGCGGGGGGGCACGCCCAGGTGGAGTCACGCAAATGCGTCCCCCGCTGTCGATGCCGCCGTGGGGCCCGCTCGCACCTTCCTGTAGACGGGCCCTGCACCCACAAAGGTCATCCTGCGTGGGAGCGGCGTCCTCGCGGGGCATCTCAATTACTGTCGCCCACCCGCCCTTGTGCGAGGTCTCGCTTTCCACAGCCGCAGTCACCGGCGATCAGCCGCCGTCTGCAAACATGACGTGGAAAATCCCAGAAACAAACGCCCCTAAGTTCTACCTTGCGGGCCGTTCTGAGTAGTGTTGTGATGAGACCTCGGGCCACCTACCCCGTCCCCGTCCCTGGCCCAGCATCCCCACACCGTGTGGAGACAGCGGGCGAGAGAGAGACCGCATTCACGTGCCTTTTAGTACAGTATATTGTTACAATTGCTCTAAGTTATGATCAGTGTGTGTTGTGCATCTCTTGCTGTGCATGATTTATACATTAAATTTTATTGTAGGCATGCGTTAGTTAATAGGCGAGAACGCGGTATATAAGCTTTCTGTACACTGAGAGTTGGGTGCTATCGGCAGTTTCACTGGGGGTCTGGGAATGAATCCCTCATGGCGAAGAGGGCAACTGTATGTTTCTTAATTTCATGTCGTCATTCTTGCCTTTTTCTTTGGAAGCAAGCCCAGCGCGCCCTCCCGGCTCTAAGTCACATCCCTGTCCCTCCTTCCCGGCCTGGCTGGGGAGACGTTCACGCGCTGTGGCCCAGACTCCGGCCCTACGCCTCCGCGCTCACCTGCGCCAGCCAGGTGAGGAGACTTCAGGCCGTCCACAAAGAGGGGAAGCAACCCTTCTGGGAAGATAGAAACCACTGTTTGTCAGCCGCAAAGAAACCAACCTTTCAGCTCGGGAGGGCCAGGCCAACTGTGGCCCGGAGCTAAAAAGGCTTATTTTTAGAGCGCAACAAACAGTGGTTTGTTTGTGGGGCTGGCCCCAAGGAGCCGCGGCGGCAGCGGGGTACCTGCTCACCAGAGTGCACAGCTAGGGCAACTAGAAAGGCTGATTTCAAAAGCCCACGCGAGGCAGCCTTTAAGAATATGCGAGCAGAACTGGTGTCGGTCTGCACGGCAGTTTGTCCAAGGTCAAAGGCAGCAGACGCGGGAGTCTCCCTTTGCCGTGAAAGCCAGCTGCCCAGAGGCATTGGCCTCCCTGCCTCCCACGATTCACTCCTGCGGAATGAAAAGATCGGCTCAGAAGTCCATTTGGGCTCCAAAAGCCCGCGGCCTCTTTA